ATACTTCTCCATGCGGGTCAACCAATCCCGCACCTCGGACTCCTTGGCCGTCATCTCCTTCTCTGTGGCCAGCAAGCGCTCGTGGATCTCCTTGAGACCCGCGCGCTCACCCTCCTCGCACTCCAACTCATCTAACTTATTGAAGAAAACAGAATCCCATGATATATGAAATATACGCTTGTCAGCATTGGCCTTCATGGCCGCATCGCCACCAGTAGCCCCAGCAGCGCCGCCCACGCCCTCCGCATGTGCCACCGCTGCGGCCGCTGCCTTCCTGGCGAGGGCTGCCTGGGCCAGCTGCTTGGACAGCTCCGCCTCCTTGAGCTCCGCCGTTTCGAGGGAGCCTCGAAGGCGCAGCACGTTGGACACAGCCTGGGAGTGCTTGTGGTCCGCGTCGCGAAACACTCCGTCAGCACGTCGTAGCAGCTCCACTGCCGAGGTCTCCTGCTGCTTGGACTCCTCGGCCTCACGCCCCAGTTTGACGACCTGCTGCTGCAGCGTGTTCTTAAGCTCGTCATCACATGTGGCCGCCGCAGCGCGGGAGGAGGAGGAGGAGGAGGAGGAGGGAGGGGAAAGGGGGGGGAGGGGGAGGAGGAGGAGGAGGAGCGGAGGGAGGAGGAGGAGGGAGGAGGAGGAGGACGACGTGAGGTAAGTAGGAGGAGGAGGAGGAGGGAGGAGGAGAGGGGGAGGTAGGAGGATGAGGGAGGAGGAGGACGAGGCGGCGGCTGCGTTTGTATGCTGATGCGTCGGGCTTTGCATGCGCGTTTCCGTGCTTGTTGTCTTTCCTTCCTGTCGTCCTTCTTCGTGCTTTCTGCTGCGTCTGTTTCGTGCTTCTGTTTTCTTCTTCACCCTTTCGTGCTTCTTCTGATCTCGGCTCTGGCCGTCGGTCGTGTCGGGCTGCGGGGAAGCCGTAGTAGTGTGCGTGCAGCTGATCCTGCATTCTGCGTGCGGCGGCTGCTAGCTTGTCTGCGGCCGTGCGGGGGCTTGACAGTCGCTGAGGGCGTCGCGAGTTATAAGACCGATGGCGGCGGACGGCTGCGGGAGGAGGTGTATGGAGGCGGCTGCCTGCGGTAGGAGGAGGAGGAGATGAGGGCGGGGCGGCGGAGTGCCGGAAGTAGGGTGCGGCGTTGCGTCGGTCGGCGTGGCGGCTCTGTAGTCCCCCCCCCCAGGCATGATCGCCAACCAGTGATTGAAACCCGGCCCCTGGAGCTTAAAAAAAAAAGCGTGGAGGCGGTGGACAGGGAGCAGTGGCTGGGGGGGGGGGGGGAAAGAACGGGGCTGCCAGACGCGGCTGCCGTTAGCAGAGCAGCGTGCCAGTGGCGGCGCAGGCGAAGTAACAGGTTGCATGCCCTCGGTGGTCCAAAGAGGGGGTCCTGAGGGATGGGGTCCTAAGGATAGGAAGGGATCCAAGGGTGGATTTACGTGGTCTGGCGCACCTCGTCCTTAGGACCCCATCTCTCAGGACCCCATCTTTGAACTACCGGTTCCCATTGCCCCACCCCCGACACTTGGTCGGCTCCGGAAAATCCTGGATCCCAAAAATGTGTCATCTTCTGAGAGCGCAAAATTTACTTCAGCCGACCTTTTGTTTGCAGAGCCGCCCTCGCCATGTTTCCGCCAACCTTCTGCCGCCCTCCGCCGAGGAAGAAATGGCAACAACTCCTTCGCTTCTCGCAGGCGATGCCCTTTCTGGAGCGCCCAACCTTGTTCAGATCCTCGTCGGATTGCCCGTGGTCTTGCAGTCAGCCAGCAGGGGCGCAGCCTCGGGATTGCCTGCGTCATGCAGGGACTGCCAGCTTCTGGGACCTGCGTCCCGCAAGGACTACCAGCTTCGGGGACCATCCGCGCCGTGCGGTGCCAGCCCCCCCCCCGCCCCTCGGGGGCAACGATAGGGGGGGATAGGCATAGGGGGGGATGCATCGACCCACAACCGCCGATTGATCGCCGATAGGGACCCGATGGCCCCACCCCGCCCAGGAAGGTGCGGATTCACGATCGGGGGCCTGTCGCCGATCTATCGACAATGTATCGCCGATATCCCCCCTATGCCTATCCTCCCCTGTCGTTTTGCACCTCAACCCCCGCGGAGCACGCAGGCGCTCGCTGGGCATGGGAAGCGGGCCGCCGGGAGGGCCTCGCCTCGCGGAGGCGACAGAGGGACGGCCTAAGGTTGTGCTCCCGCGGTGGGGAAACACTGGCTCCGCACTGCGGGCTCTGCCGTGCCGCGTGTCGGTCGGTCTGTCGGCTTGGCGTCGAGACTTTAAGCCAGCTGCAGGGCTCGGGGTCACACCAGTCGATCCGCGATGGCACTCTAGGCCTCCCAGATGGGGTCGGAGGGCTGCGCCGCATCGCCAATGCATCAGCAATGTGGCTCGATGAGGAGCCCGACTTTCGCCTCGCCGACGGCGCCAATGCATCGCCGACATCGCCGGTTGCATCGCCGATGCATCGCCGATGCATCGCCGACATATCACCGATGCATCGCCGATGTATAGACGATGCGGCGCGATCCTCCGACCCCATCTACTCCTCGGACCCCATCTAGAGGCATTTGGGCACGGGACATCGGTTTGCACCCGCGCGGGCGCTGAGGTCGGCGCACCGGCGTCAGGCCTCATCCCGTCGACCACGGCGGCGGCCTGGGATCCGGCGGCGCCGCCGCCGTGGCGAGGGGCCTCCGATGTTGTCGGGCCGAGGTGTAAGTCAGCCACCCGCAGAGGGGGATGGGGGGAAGGGGGGAGGGCTTCTTAGCAGCAGCATCCTTCTTAGAAGCCCTCACCCCTCCCTCCACCCCCGTGTGCGCACCGCCAAGTCAGATCGAGGTCGATTCGGGGAGGTGACCCTGATATTCTTCGTGCTTGTTGGGCGTTCTTGTGCATCCTGGTGGAGAGGGTGCCCTCGAGTGGTCCCAGGCTTTGGTGCGGTTGGGCCGGCGGAGGGTCTCATGTTCTTGAAGGATCTTCTTTGGTGGCCCAGGTCCGGTTGTAGCTTGACCTGGGTGGGGGGGGGGAGGGGGGGGGGCGGCGTTCGGCGAGGCGCGCGCGCGCGCCGTCGAGCGAGCCCCACGGGGGGGTCCTCGCGCAGGGCGGGCGGTGTGGTGGAGGTGTCCCCTGCACGTCGGGGGGGGGGGGGGCTCGCGCCTGGGCGCGACGCTCCTGCGGGGCAAGGGTCCCCGACCCCATGCACCCCCTCCCTCGAACCCCGCATCGCTTCGTGCTCGCGCTCGCCGGGCGCCAGCCGGGCTGGCGCAGGCTCAGTCCTCCGCTCCGGGGAGCGTCGGGGCCGTCACTCTTCCGTCCTTTCCCCCCTCCTCGTCACCTCCACTCAGCTCCTCGTCTTCCCCGTCTCCTCGCCCCCCGTCCCCCATCTCGCCCCCTCCCCCCCCGCCCCCCCCGCACATCCCATGCATCCAGTGTTCCCCCCCCCCCCCCCCCCCCCCTCCTCTCGTCCCTTTCTTGCTCCGCCTCTGCGGCTCCCCCCCCTGTGTGGGGTCAACGCGTGTGTGCAAGCGACTTGCGCCCCAGAGGTGGCGGCATGGGCGGAAAGCCGCGTATCCGGACGGCTTCCGCCAACCTCACCGGGCCCCTCCCGCGCAGGGGCTCCTCCCGTGGGTGCCCTGCCCATGCAGAGGACAGGAGCTGCAGGACCGACATTCCCCGAGAAGCGGGCTACAGAACAGCCGTATCCTCAGGAGGCAGAGCAGCTGGCAGGATCTTAGGTGCTTGATCGTTCGGGGGGTTCCTTGTTTCTTGGAGGGTCAGGGTCACCATGGGATTCCTCCTCCCTCCTCCTCCTTATCCTCCTCCTTATCCTCCTTCTCCGCCTCCCAGGAGTCACACTCTGCCTTCGCCTCATTGACATTACGTAGGAACGTTCTGCGCCTTGAGGCCCACACGTGGAAGTAGTTTGTATGAAGGCCACGTGTCTCGAAGTGAAGGCTGAAGAGAAGGTCAGAGCTCGTATGCGTTCGCAGTTCAATCCAAAAAACAAGTTGTTGCAGCATGCACTGATAGGGTCCCTCTGACTCCGAATCCCACGAGTGGAGCAATGAGGATCGCACTAGCGAGCGCGAAGCCGAGGGAGAGCCACACTCCAAGGGGACGACTCCGCTACCACTCCGTCCGTCGGTCTGCCTAAAGGGCGACCGCGGCTGCGGGTCCGATCGGGCATCGGCGCACCAGCGCGCCCTGGGGAAGAGCCTGACCCAGAGGGGAGGGGCATCCGGGGCAGAAGCTGCTGCAGCAGGGGTCCGCGCCGGAGTGCTTCCGGCGCTCTCCCGCCACGGTGCTTCCCCCCCCCCCCCCCCGCCGTCCCCTCGGGCCGGGGGATGCCAGCTGACCGTCTCGCCGATCCTGGCCTGGCCCGATCTGGCGCCCAGGAGGAGTGTCTGCTCCTCCCCCCGCCGCGCCCCCGACGCGGGGACCCCGAGGGACCAGGACACACCTGGCGCGCCCGAGAAAGCTGCAGCCGTGGCTCTCGAGGCAGTCCCCACTGCTCGGCCACGCCTGGCGGAAGTCTCCTCCGCCTCCTCCTCCTCCTCCCCCTCCTCCTCCCTCCTCCTCCTCCTCCTCCTCCTCCTCCTCCTCCTCCTCCTCCTCCTCCTCCTCCTCCTCCTCCTCCCCCTCCTCCCCCTCCTCCTCCCGGTGCCCTGATGTGCGGTGGCCTGGAGCCCTGGCCGGGCCAGGGAGGCGCAGCCGGGGGCAGCCTCGGGGGGCGACGGGCTCCGAGGGGGACGCATGGGCCCCCCGACTCGCCCGGTGATCGCCGACGGGGGCCCTGGTAGCCCACGCCGCCCAGGACTGGGCGGGCTTGCCATCGGGGGCCGATCGCCGAGCTGTCAGCGATGTGTCGCCGGGTCGAGCTCGCGGTCTCCGCCCTGCGCAGGTCCCCGCCCGACGCTGCCCCTCGCGTGTCTGGGCCGGCCCCGTATGGCGGTGGGCTGGCATCCCCCGGCCGAGGCCTCTGTCCCTCCCCTGCGGTGCCCGACGAGGGCCCTGCACATGTTGCGGCGCAGCGCCGCGCCCTCCGGCTGGGGGGGGGCCCGCGTGTTCGCGGCTGGCACGGACGGCACCCTGTCCATGTGGAAGCCCGCCGACCTGAGGTCCAGTCCTTCCAGGCTGGAGACGGCTGGCAGGACAGCCGGCGGCGGGCATCGACAGAGGAGAGGCGGCACGAGCACAAACGCTCGGAGGGCCGCGCGGACGTCTCGAGTCGGCGCTGCGCCCCCTCTCCGTCGCGCGGAGCGCGCCGGAGGCGCCGCCACGGGGGCCCAGCGCCGATCCAAGAAATCCGCGCGGACCTCCGAAAGGTTGTGCTTATGCAGTTTTCTTCCTCTGGGGTACCAGGAGGGTGTAGAAACGCAGGGGCCTGAGCATTCAAAGGAGGATGGAGGCCAGGACGTGGGGAGTGGGGTGCGCATGAAAGTTTGAGGAGAGCAGCGGGAGGATCAGCAGGGGTGGCAAAGGAGCGCAACACTCCGGACCGCGTGTCAATCCCAGCCCCCGGGCTGCGGGCGCCCAGCGGACCGTCCTCGCATTAGCGGGAGGCGCCGCATATGGAACAGGGGTGGTGGGTTGGCTTCCCCCCTGGCGCGGTCGGTGGGGACCTCGTCTGAAAAAAAGGGGCGGGCGGCGGTGATCAGGCCGCCGGGAGGCCCGTCTGTGCCCCCAGAACAAAGGGGGGCATCGGCTTTCGGCACGCCTTGGAATGCGCGCCTCGGCGACCAAGGAAACGAGCAGCCGCGCCCTGGGGCAGCCCCACCCGCAGCGGCCCAGGGAGAACAGGCGACGGAACAGGTGCTAACTGTGCGCGCGGCCTGATGGGATAGGAGAGGAAGGCTCCGCTGTTGCTTGCTGGCCCTTCCTGCTGAAGGGCCGGCGCTGCCCACGGCGGGCTGCTGGGAGGCACCGGGCGGGCTGCCCGCGGCGCCTGCTCCCGCGGCAGGCGTGACCACGGCGCAAAGCACGCCACTGCAGCGAATGCCAGAAGCGGCAGCCGAGGTCACGAGTAACCCCTCCGATGCGTGGCCGGGGGGCCACGGCGGAGGGCGCGCGGGAGACCGCCCCTCTCAAGTGTTGGTGGGGCCACAGAGTCGCTCGCCCAGGCGAGGCACAGGAGGAATCCCTCGATGGCTCCGGCTTTGCCAACGATACCGAGGAGGAATTCAAGCATGACTTGGGCCGTGTCACCCGACTAAGAGCGTTGGTCTGGTGGCCTTGTGCACCTTTGAGTTATCATCGCGGTCGGACTTGCCGTGGTGGTCTGGTCAGAGAGATCGTCGGCCCGCACTCCACCCGCGCCGAGACACGAAACGGCAATGAGGATCCAGACCATGATAGACGGACCTCGAGAGAGGTGGCTGCTTGCCGTGGAACGCCTGGCCCTCGTTGGGGCCATCATGGTGATTGCCCCGAAGCCATGCGTTGCCTTCAGAGTCGCTGTCGAACGGGCCCTGCTCAGGTGCCGCATCGCCTGGTGGCGTCTGCGGCACGGGAGCGCTGACGGCTGCCCCATCGCTCCTCAGGGTCCTGCGGGGTCCTCAGCGGGGTCCTCAGCGGCGGCCGCGCGTCGTGCGAGGACGAAGCGTACCATGCAGCAGGGGCTTGCCTCAAGACGTGGCTGCGCGGTGGCTGCTGCATCGCCCGTGCTCCGGCCGCGTCGTTCTGCGGTCGTAGGTCATGCTGCTGCAAGCGAGCCTGTCGGCGGCGTTGGATGTCTTGCTGCGCGTGGAAGTGGGCGGCCGCAGTGGCCTCTCCAGGGACATGACGGACGCGTGCGACCAGGCAGGCGGGCTTTGCGGTCTGGGCAGGAGAGCCCGGCAGAGGCCCGTCGCTCGCAGGCTCTGGTCAATTACGCGCTTTGCAAGGCCTTGTCGCAGAGCTCACAGGCTTCCTTTTGAAGGGTGAACTTCGTAGGCCCAGTTCCTCGCCGCCGGTGTCGTGCCAGCGCGTTGACGATAGGATGCTGGCGGTCTTCCATGGCACGATCAATGCTGACTTCCATGCACTCTTGAAAGGCGTCGCTCTCCGTGTCCCATGGCAGCCACGAAGCTGCCGCGTTCTGCATGTGGCCCAGCAGGTGCTGTTTGGTCTTGTCTGCCTCATGCAGTTCCGACACTGTCGGGGCCCGTGGCTGAGGAAGGCCTGGGGGAGGGCGCCCCCCTCGCCGAGGTCTCCGACGGGGTCGCCCGCAGGGCCGCCAGCGGCATCGGGGTCCTGGACGGGGTCGTCGCCGTCGTCGCAGGGGCCTTCGGCGTCGGGGCTGGCACCTCTCGGCCGGTGGGGTCGCGGAGCTGGCGCCCCGTGGCCACCGAGCAGCCCTTCAGGGCTGACGTCGCCGAGCGCCGCATTCGCCGTACCACTTCCAGTCATGATGGGCGAGCTAGGAGCCTGCAGCCCGAAGGGCGCGGCGCGCGCGGCCCTGCGGAGAGCCAGAAGGACGTTCATAGTGCGTCGTTCCGCCGGCCGCGATAGAGGCTGAGCAGGCTAGTTTTCAGCGTGGAGTCTGCTTCGCTTCCGAAGCTGACGCCGAAGCAGACGCATGCCCCACGGCTGAATCAGGGCACTGCAAGCGCGGGCGCAATTGGCCAGTGCGCTGGCCCCACTACTGTACTCCATTAGTTTTGGTGGGTGGCCGTGCTCCCTAGAGCTGATGCTGCGGCGGTGCTCTTGTCCGGCGCTCGAGCATTCGGACGGCGCCGCAAAGGTGGCCCAGCGCTGCTCGTCGCCGACGCTGGCGAAAAACTGCGCGGCATGACTTCCCTCTCCGCATTCGCCGACGGAGAACTGCTTGCGGGCAGAGACTGGCGCCCCCATCCCTGGGCCATTCTGGGGCGCGCCGACGACCAGGGCCTGGGCGCGCGCGAGAACTCCCACGGGGCCGAATCACAGGAGAACGCAGCTCCACAGTTGGCCGGCGCTGGCGCGCGGCGGGCCAGGCGGGCGTCGCCGAGCCCCATGCTGCCGGCGCTGATCGCTTGAAGGCGATTCTAGCTTGCTTCTGCTGGTCCAGCAGAAGCAAGCTAGAATCGCCTTCAAGCCCTGGACGGCGAAGGAAACGACAGAAACGAAGCAGACCGCGAGACCCCGGCAACAGCAATCCCAGGACCCCTGCCCCTCCAGGAGCCGGCATGGATTCGAAACCCCTTGGCGCGCGCATCCTCGATGGGCCGGGCGAGCAGGAGGAGGAGGAGGAGGAGGAGGAGGAGGAGGAGGAGGAGGAGGAGGAGGAGGAGGAGGGGGGGGGCCCGTCGAGGCCCCTCCGCTGCGTCGCGCAGGCACGCGGCGCGGCATGCCCGGCACGCTCGGGCGCGGCAGGTCCACGGGGGGGGGTCGGGGCGGGGCCCGGCGGGCTCTGCGCGGCCCGTGTCGCCGGAGCGCGGACGAGCGAGGCGAGAGGTGCCATTCGGCCCACGAAGGCCCTGAGGTCTCGGCACCGTTTCGCCTATCCCCGCCCCGATCCCCATCCCCGGCGAGACCCCCACTAATGACCACCCCAGTTGGGGACAGATCCCTCGAAGCTCGAAGGGAACGACCTATGTACCCATCTAGAGGGGTAGATCGGCCATTGGGGCCCAGGCTGCGCCGCTGGGGATGGGGATCGGTTAAACGATACTCAAGGTCTGTGTTCAGGCTGGTATGCTCGGATTTGGCCGCGTGGATCCCTTGTTCGAGCTGGCGGCATTGTTGCGCGAGGGCGGCCCGACTGGCGGCCACGCTGGCGACGGTTGTTCCGAACCGCTTGAGGCTTGCGGCGAGCTGTTGCTGGTCAGCCCCTATCTGAACCTCGCACCAGCTTGGTCGGAGATACCCTGGACCCCAGGTTGTGGTGCCCACTCCTCGCCGGAGATGTCATCGTAGCTCAGTCACGCGATGCTCTTTTTACGCACAGTGGCGGGGCGTCGGCGTTTTCGATTCCGATATCTCAACCTTCTACGTCGCAGTCTTCTGCGTCGTTGGGGGCCGGGGGCCGTTGGTCGAGAGCGGTGTCAGCTTCGTTTGTGATGCTGCTGTGACGTTTGCGAGACCCCCGCACGTTGTTGCTGCGCTGCTTGTTCCCTGACGGCGGAACGCTCGGTGGCAGTGGCGTTTCTGGTCTCGGCTGCGGCTTCAGCGGCGCGTGGAGGCAGGGTCTGGTGACCGCCCTGTCTTGCAGGGACGGAGACCAGCGGGCGACCCCACCACCAGTTCCTCCGTCGCGCCGATCTCTGGCGAGACGATCGCAGCCGCTGGTTCTTTCAAGGATTCGGCTTTGGCAGAGGCGCGCATCGCTACTTTGCCGATAGTCCAGGGGGCGGTGAGGCCGCGAACGTGGACCGCGGCGTGCGCCTTCACAACGGCGAAATCTCCCCTGGTCGCACTGCGCAGTGCCACTCGATGGAGGCAACGACCCTGGCAATTTGCGTCCTGGTGGCGCGCTGCGGCTCGATGCCCGCGATGCGCCGCTCGTCGTTGGCACGTGCGGCGCCGGTTCCCTGTGGCCCCAGGGCGACGGGTTTCGCTTCCCGGGCGTCGGCTCTGATCACGATGCCCACTCTTTTTTGGTCCGCACGAACGGCCCCGCACGCTGCGCGCTCGGTTGAGGTGCCGCGCGCTTCCAGGACATGGTCTGGCGACCGACCGGGGCACCGCGCGGTGATGGAGTCATTGGGCGGGGGTCCCGGGGAGCCGCGGCAACTGGGGTCGAGCTGGATGCCTCCATGCCCGGAGGCGGAGAGGACCAGAGGCACGTCCGCTGGTCTGATCCCGAAAGTGGCCGTGGGCTTGCGCTCCCGGGCTGCTTTGCCGTAGCGTCCTAGCTTCTTTGGTAGGTCGCAGCGCACACCGCCAGAGGCGGCGGAGAGCTTGAGAGATCCAAGTACCAAACGTGAAACAATTGCATGGCTTCTTGGATTTGCACGGTGCGAAAGTGAAACGCGAACACGGCTGTGGACGCGTCCGCGAGGTCGTCATCGTCGTCGCGCTGTTGTCGCGAGGCGCCTCTTTTGGCTGAAGTGTGGTGTGGTTTGGCCTTTTGTTGTGCCGGGCCTGGTCCGCCCGGGAAGCCGTTGCCGTTGGTGGGCGCAGCGCCCGAGAACTGCGTCGCGAACATTTCCTCGAGTGCGGGCGTGACCACGGCGGCCTCAGCCTCACAAATAGCCGCGCGGATCCGGACAACATTGTGAGCCAGGTCGAGAGTGACTCGGGCGACGTTTAGGAGGCGCTTCACCTCGTCCTGCCCGAGCTGGTAGGCGGTCCCTTGGCTGTGCCCTGGCGTGGGCTCGGTGGCCTCGGCCGTGCGGCGGAGCGCCGGGAGTAGGAGCTCTGTGCTTGGGCAGTCGGTGTTCAGGGGCCTCAGGGCTGCAAGCGCTAGAGGTTCGTCTTGTGTGTGGATACAGGGGGGGCGCGCATCAAGAAGCCATATGCCTTTCGTCAGGGTATCCTGGGTTTCTTCGCTCCTCGCGCTGCGCGGTGACTTCCCGCAGCCGTTGAAGGAGCTGCTACGTTCAGGGTGCTCCGGGTTTCCCCTCAGGTGCACCTCGCGCACGGGTTCTCAGGGTTGAGTTTCTTGCGAGGGTTTCTTGCGGCCGCGTCCGCACAGTATCAGGTCGCCTTTCTCTGGCGTGCGAGGTGGGCTGCTGCTGGCGCGCGACGTCCCGTAGAATAATCATAAAAACTCTGAGGTCCACGCGGATTTCTCGGATCGGCGCTGGAGCCCCCTGGCGGCTCCTCCGGCGCCGCACCTGGCGCGCTCCGCGCGCCAGGGGGGGGTCCAGCGCCGATCCCAGAAGTCCGCGCGGACCTCAGAGTTCTTATGTTTATGCCACTTGATTCTTCCCCTATGGGAGGAGCAGATGCAAAGACACGCTCACGAATTTGGGTATCATTCTGAGTCGGAGCCGTGAGGACCTCCCGCGAGGGAGCCGTTGCTGTTGCTGCTGCTGCGGTCGTGGGCCCAGTGGCCCACTTGGGCCCTTAAGGCCATCCTCGGCGAAAAGGGTGGAGCGAGCGACGACGGGCAACTTCAATCTTGAATCATTCGATGCGGAGACGCCCTCTTTGACAGGCGCGGTGGCAACGGGGACGCCCCAGTTTGGTGCATCAAGGCTGATGAGAGGGGCCCTGCCTTTGCCCTGGTGGGCATCGGCGTCGACCGTGGTTCCTCCCTCCTGGTGGTTAGTCACGGTCTGAGGCCTTTTTGTGCATGAGGGAGTGATGCAGCATGGTTTAGCTGCTGATTTTGCTGTTCCTGTAGAACGGGTGTCGGCCCAGGGCCCTCTTTTAGGATGATAATGTGTCCCCAGAGCCAAATTCGAAGAGCGCCTGCAGACGAATGTGCGAGAAATAACGATGTCGCAGAGGGCCAGCGGATTAAATTATCAGGATGTCCTGAGCGAAACGCTGGTTCTTTGAAGTTCCAAACAATACAAGTACGCATGCTCGTTTGTTGCGCATGTCTCGAGCGAAACGCTTGCTTTGCAGACTTTGTTGAGGATGTCTCGAGCGAAACGCGGGTTTTGTCTTATAGGTTGCTCCCCTCCTGGGGCGCCAGAATTCAGGGGATGTCTCAGGCGAAATGCACCCTAATCGCCCGGGGGGTATCTAACATGGTTGTCCCCAGATGGAATCACGTGTTTTAACACGTCCAGGCCAGCCAAAGGTGGTGGCCCCGAGCCTGAACCACGTGTTTCTATTTGTCCAGGTCACCCTGAGCGATATCTAACATGGTTGCCCCGAGCTGGAACCATGTGTTTTCACGTGTTCGGGCCGCCCACGGGGGTATCTAGCATATGGTCGTCTGGGCGCCCCCAGCGGGGGGGCCCACAAGAGGCAGACAAAGTCAATAAACGTACAGCAGGTGTGCAATCACCGAATCTATTTTCTTCGGCTGGTGATTGTCCAGATTTCCCCCTGAGGTATCTAACATGGTGGTCCCGAGCTGGAACCACGTGTTTTCACTTGTCCAGGCCACCCAGAGGGGTATCTAAGATGGTGGCCCCGAGCTGGATACACGTGTTTTCTCATGTCCAAGCCACCCGACGGGGTATCTAAGATGGTGGCCCCGAACTGGGACTACGTGTTTTCACGTGGCCATGCCACTCAGGGGGATATCTAACATGGTGGCCCCGAGCTGGAGCCATGCGTTTTTACATGTCCAAGCCACCCAGGGGGGTATCTAACATTGTGGTCCCAAGCTGGGGCTATGTGTTTCTACGTGTCCAGGCCGCCGCCCAGGAGGGGGGGATCTGAGATGGTTGCATCTTGCCCCTCGCTGGAACCTTGTGTTTTCAGGTCCCCAGGCCACCCAGGGGTGGTGTCTAAAATTGTGACCCCGAGCTCGAACCACGTGTTTTCATGAGTCCAGACCAACCAGGGCGGTATCCAGCATGGTTGCCCCGAGCTTCGACAACGTGTTTTTACGTGTGCGGGCTGCCCACGGGGGGGATATCTAACCTGCGGTCCTCTGGGCGCCCCCAGCGTGGGGGCTTACAAGGGCAGGACAAAGCCAATACATGTGCACGAGGTGTGCAATAGCTTGATACAGTTTCTTCGACTGGTGTTTGTCCAGAGTTCCCACTGGGGTATCTAACGTGGTGGTCCCGAGCTGGAACCACGCGTGTGCACGTGTCCTGGCCACCCAGATGGGTATCCAAGATGGTGGACGCCACCCAGAAGGGTTTCTAACATGGATATCCCGAGCTGGAACCACGTCTTCACCTGTTCAGGCTACACAGGGAGATATCCAACTTGTGGTCGTCTAGCTCTACGCCTGAGTAAATTGTGACGGTGTCTCGTCTGGCTCTATGTCTGGGTGTCTCGAGCGAGGGCTGCGGAACTGCATCCGATCTTGAGCTCGAGCTGGTCGAGCGCCCCGCGCGTTTCGATTGCAACCAGCCCGAGCTATGCGTTCAGACAGCTCGAGCTTAAGATCCAAATCAGTTCGATCGGGATTCTGACGCCAACGACGGCTTGACCCACAATGCAATAGCGCACAGCACAGTTCAACGCGGCATGTCCCCTGCCGCGTCCCCTGGCACTTCCACTGGCACGTTCCGTGGCGCGTCCCTGCACTATGCGGCGCGGCACATAGCAGGGCAGCACAACACAGCCCTTAGCATAATACCATCACCATTGATATCTTCAGCGTTGCCATTGCCCATCGCCCACTTGAGGTGCTTGGAAACGTTCCTATGCCTCGCACTTCTAAATCCCTTTCCGGGTTCTTGGGTCGATCATGTTTCCGCACAATCTCATTAGCTCGTCCCTGAGCCTGCGGTGGTCGTATCGGGGTTGGTAGATGGTACCGAGTTCGGTTCGTCGCTAGTGGGCAAGTTCGTTGTATTCAGCAACTGCTCTGTCGACGCAACCACTGCCCTGGAGTGCGGCAACGCATGTTTCCTTTTTGGACAGGCTGCTATCCGGTAAAGTTGTTTGTTCCGGAAAGGGCGTGGGCCCAGGGTTTTCTTTTAATAGGTCAATTGTCCCGAATGCAAGTTCCAAGAGGGTCGGTGATTTTTTCGTTCTGATGAATCACGAGGTCAAAGAGGGCTGGCGGATTTTAATTCGAGGATTTCCCGAGCGAAAAATTGGTTTTTGAAATTCCGAACGATAAAGCATTGAGTATACGGTAAAGTATACTTTTTCGTTTGTTACGGATGTCTCGAGCGAGACGCTTGTTTTGTAGAATGCGTTGAGGATGTCTCGAGCGAACCATTCGCTTCGTTCTTTTGATTGCTTCTCTCCTGGGGCTTGAACCCTTTGGATTTCGCGCGTGTTCTTATAGATTGCCCTAGCGAACGCCCCTGAGCGGGACGATCATGAAAACACTTGTGTTTGTTACGCCACAAATCAAGGCAAGTGTGAAGACACGTGGGTTCCCAACGCCCCCGAGCGTGACAAGCGTGAAGTCACATAGGTTCCTAACGCCTCAGAGCGGGACAAGCGTGAAAGCACGTGGGCTTTTGATGCTCCAGAGCGGGACAAGCGTGAAAACACGGTGGGTCCTAACGCCCCTGAGTGGGACAAGCTTGAAAACAAGTGGGTTCCCAACGCCCCAGGGCGGGACCAGCGTGAAAACTCATGGGTTCCTAACGCCCCAGAGCGGGACAAGCGTGAAAACACGTAAGTTCCTAATGCCCCAGGGCGGGACAAACGTGAAATCATGTGGATTCCGAACGCCCCAGAGCGGAACGGCGTATGCCCTTCCCCTTTCGGCGCGTCCCTTGGTACGTCCTCTGTTGCGTTCCCTGGCTTGTCTCCTGGCGCTTTCCCTGCCAGTTCCGTGGCGCGTCCCTTGCCACGGCCCTTGACACGTCCCCTGGCGCATCCATGAGTGCGATTCCGTGGCGCGCCCATGCGCCTTGCGCCCCGTGTCGTCCCGTCCCGTTTCGGAATCGAGGAGGACCTTGAGCTCGAGCTGATTTGAGCGCCCCACACGTTTCGACTGCAACCAGCTCTGGGCCAGCTATGCGCTCAGGCAGCTCGAGCTAAAGATCCAGATTAGTTCGGCCAGGATTGGTATGGCGAGGGCGAACGTAATTCATCGCGGCATGACACAACTCTTTTCAGCACAGCACAGCACAGCACAATCTTTGGCGCGGTACATCACGATCGATATTTTCAGCTTTGCAACTGCTTGTCGCCCAATCAGGCTTCTTGAAGACGTAGCCATGCCTCGCGCTTCTAAATTCCCGTTCCGGGTTCGTGAGTCGCTCATGTTTGCCGGCTTTTGTTTGGTGGTTTGGGCTGCCGTGGCGCAGGGGACGCACGGCGAGGACATTCTGGAGCCATGGTGCGCGCGCGCGTTGAGTGGAAAGATGTGACACGCATCGGTCCCCTATGATCGATACGGTGGCGGTCTCACCGGGCTGAAGGGCGCGGAGGGTCACGTGTCCTGGCCTCACCGTGAGCGCGAAAATGCTTTCGAGCCGAGACTCAGCTGGGGTGGAAGAGGAGGGGCAGGTTGGGGGAGCAGGAGCAGCCCAAGCAGCAGGAGGAGCAGCAGGAGCAGGAGGAGCTTGACTGCGGAGGGGCACTCCTCCTCGGCCGCGTCCCGCGAAAAAGAGATGTGCCGCCAGGGACCGGCACCTTCGCGCGATCACTGCGCTGGTGGTCGACGGCAGCGACGGGCTCCACGTCTGCGGGCGGCCGACGCCCCTCCGCCGAGCCAGTCTCGCCGGCGAGCCCTCGTGCACGCAGAGCGTTTGCCCCCTTCCATCCCGCCCCTCCCCCCGCCGCTCTGCCTCCCCCCCCCCGGGCACACGTCGGAGGCCCCCCCCCTGCCTCCTCCCTCGCGCCTCCTCCTCTCCTGGAGCCCCCTATGGCCCACGTGCCCTCCCCACGACCAGGAGCAAAACTCATCGGCGCGCTTGGAGTGCGAGGTCGCGGGCTTCGCAGACACGGCGAGGTGCAAGAGCCGCGCGCAGGGGGCCAAGAGGCACCATGGGAGCCATCAAATATGCAGCGACGTCTTCGGGGCGCTGCTGCCAGACCTGGACGTTGTGGATCAGATTACGAAACTTGTCACCCAACTGCACGAGAGTCACGCTCAGCCAGTATTTGCATTGTATGGCGGATACGCCCGCGCAGTATGCGTATATGTGTGTATTGTACAGATACCCTCAACGTGAGTATGCACGTGCACTTGAAAATACACCAGTACGCGTATGAATGGTTGCCAGCGTGGACTCCGAACCGTAAGTCATTGTACGGCGAATGTGCGTGGCGTAGGACACATGGTGCAACACACATGGTGTAGGGTATGCGGCGCAAGCTGTGCAAGCGGAGCGGCGTGGTACAGCACATGACCAGCAAGCCCAGGGGGGTGGGGCGCGAAGCGACCCACGATTGGCAAGGCAGGCTGGCGGCGCGGCGAGGTAGCGCAGCGTGCACCGCGCCGCAGCCTGCACGGGGAAGCATCTGGAGCGCGGCCACAGATAGGCGAGAGGCTCACTGGCCCACGGGTGCTGCTGTCTGGGCAGCAGGTGCACCGTCAGGTCCCTGAGGCTCCTCCTCCTCCTCCTCCTCCTCCTCCTCCTCCTCCTCCTCCTCCTCCTGCTCCTCCTCATCCCTCCTCCTCTCACCCCCTACGGTCGTCTCCTCCTCCTCCTCTTCCTCCTCCTCCTCCTCCTCCTCCTCCTCCTCCTCCTCCTCCCCCTCCTCTGGCTCACAGTCTGCAGTGCGCCATGCCAGGTGGGAGAGCTCAGCCCGTCGGGCGCTTGGCCGACTCGTTCAGCTGCCTCTCCTGCGGCCTCCTCCTCCTCCTCCTCCACCAGGGCTCGGGGTGAGAAGCCCCCACGGATGCGACTAGGCACAGGCTCTCCCACCCCCCTTCCTTGTAGATAACGCCTCCCTGCCGCGCCACCGTACGTGTTGTTGGGGCGGGCTGGGCATTGCGCCTGAGACCTCCCCACCGCTTACAGCCGTGAAGCTTGAAAAGCTCAACAGCTGCACGGACGGAGGGAGTGTCGCTATCAACAAACAAGTTTTTCGCCACGGCGCCGCGCACAGCCGTCTCTGAAACATCCAACGATTGCATTGATGGGCGGCGGTACATTTTCGAAACGGGGCCATCGTCTTGGTGCCGTGCGCATGCGCTTTCAAGGTGAGAAGTCCAAGAGTTACACAGATGGAGGGCGAATCGTTTTCAACACAGGGTTCTCGCCTTGGCTTTTCGTACACGCGCTCATACACTCCATCACCTATGGAAGGATGGATGGCGGTTCCCTCAAGCAAGCAGCTCTCGAAGTTTCAACGGTTGTAGCAGCTACGCGGATGGAGGGCAGATCCTTTTCGGAATGCAGTTGTCGGCGACATGTCTTCCACAAGCCTTATTCGAAGTACGAGCCGTGCAGCAGCTGTACGGGTGTAGGGCGGCTCCTTCTCGAAGTGGGGTCGTCCTTGGACGTTTAGTTTGGCGTTGTGCTCCCGTCCCTATAGCTCGAGGGACGGCGGGGAGCTCCTTTCTGAAAAACGGAGGCTCCGCTGGAAGCGCGGGCACGTGGGAAGTTTATTTTCAAGAGTGCTCCTCGCGCAGACAAGACGAAGGCTTGGAGAGACCCATGAGAGGACTAGGGACGGGAGGGTGCACTGCAGCTGATACATCTTAGATTCACTCTGGTCATCCTCCTCCTCCTCCTCCTCCTCCTCCTCCTCCTCCTGGTCTCCCTCTTCACGTTACAGTAGGCGCACGAAGTAAGAAACTGGCCTGCCAACAGGTGCCCCACGACAATTTCTTTATCTCCCAGTGGTTCCTGGGGTACCTTGCGAAGCTCACCGTGGACGCAGGATGTGCCCCTAGAACTCCTATGCTGTGACTTCTTATCGTGTGTGCCCCGTGCACTCCTCCTCCGCCTTGGTCGTCCTATCCCCCACGGATGGGGTCTCCGACGCCGCCGGCCACCCTGGGGCGAGCTGGAAGGCCGAGCCGCTCCTCCAGCGGGGGCCGGGCGGAGTGCTGGGCCACGACGACGGCAGCGTGGCCGTGGTCGACGCCAGGCCCGCGGTGGGGCGGGGGCGGCCCCGGTCGTCTCGTGCGCCCGTGTGCGGAGGGGGGCCCCACCCCGTGGCTTCGAGCGAGCGCCGGCTCGCTTCGCGGCTGCTCCATGGATCACCAAAGGATGGTCGCGCGATTTGGTCGGTTCGGCTGCGTCGCAGTCGGTTTGCGTTCGGTCGGTTCGGCTCGGTCGGTGATCGTGTCCTTGCCGCGTCGCTGCGCCCCTCCAGGCTGCTTCCGGCACGTCGAATTTCGGTGTCGGTTTCGACCACGGTTCGGTCGGTTTTCGGGTTTTGCTTCGAGTGAACGTTGGCTCGCTTCGCGGCTGTTCCACGGATTACAGCAGGTTCGTGTCGTGTCGACGTGGTGGCGACTCCGCCGCGGGCCTTCAAGGTCGAACGCCGCCAGTGGCCCAGAATCGTCTAATACGGAACGATCTGGCGATCGAAAAGCAGCCGATCGTTCGAGGTTGAACGATCCGCGTGGCGTCAGAAACCAACGCCAGGGTCGCCACGACACGACACAAGCCTGCCGCATCGAGGGCGGGTTGACCCTCGCGAGGGTTCATTTCTGTGGCGGCTCAGAGTTTCACTCGTGCTTCAATTGATGCTCACCTGTGGCCGAGGCGACTCGGCGCGCGCATCATTCTGGCGGTCATCCTCGTCCCAGTCGCGTCGACGTGCAGGCGATGTCCTGTCCAACTTTCAGTCAAGGCAGAGTCCGCTTCGAAGCAGTGCTCGTCTCTCCCCATGGTCAGCCCTTCGGTCTGCCACGCACAGACACATTCCGCCGACGCGCCAGTGACTCCAACCGTCGATAAGCAAAAGTAGGGCGAGACAAGCGCAAGCCGAACGAGCCCCCTTGTGAGGCTGCGCGGCAGATTCACTAAAAAATTAGAGGGAAGCATTAAGTCGGCGCAAACTTAGCGAAGCAAGTGAGCACCGGGCAAATGGACAGATCTACGCTGCGCGGCAGCAACGAAACTCTACGTAAGTCCAGCGACAAGGGCGAGAAGAGGAGCGGGGGAAGAGAGAGGTAGTGGCGGAGACAGCGCTGACCTTTGGAGGCAGCAGTTTCCCATACTCGCTGGCCCAATCAGAGGCACAACCATCTTCGAGTAGCATTCGTCGAGGGCGTCGCCGAGCCATCGAGGTGGCATTGATTATCCTCTGCTCGATTACCGATCGTAGAAGTTGAGCGCCTGCGCACGCAGCCAAGCATGTATTTTGCGCGCGTGTGACCCTGCAGGCACTGGGCGGCTTCGCCCTGGCATGGCATCCAGAGCATTGGAGGGTTGCAGACATGTTCCTTTTCCTCCTGTCTCGCAGCCCGTCTTCTGCTTCACAGTCAGTCAGATGGAGGAGAAGCGACACCAACACCAACAGGGGGGCCACCTCCAGCCAGGAGGTCCACGATACCTCCCAGAGCTTGAGGCTGGGGATGTCTCGATCTCGAGCGAGAGGGGGGGACCACAACACCAGGGAGACTCCCCTTGCCTCCTCGAATCTCCTCGCCCTGGTGGTGTTGGTGTCGCCTTTCCTTGTTTCTAAGTCAGGCGCTTCATTCTCTGCTTCGAAGTAATAAAACGTTCCGTGCACCGTCTCTCTTGTTCTAACTTCCCGAAGGGTTGCCACTCGCCCGCCCTTCTGCCCAAGCGTCCTGCCGGATGCTTGGCTCAGTGGTGCGGCGTGGAGGAATGCCCACCGTTTGCGGGACAGGGCAGCCACTCTTGCCATCTCTCCGCGTCCCTCCCTGGGTCCTCCCTCCTCGCCCGTCTCCTCTACAGTAGCCCCGCCCTTCTCTCACCACGTCGAGCACGGGCGATCCCAGAAAGCATGTGCAGCCCGCGTCCATAGAACCTCTGGGGGTAGGGCCCTCTGTTCCATGACTTGCCCTGGAACAAGAATCTCTGCTGATCGGACCCTCTGTCCGAGTATCGGTTTGGCCCAAACTTGGCTCAGGTGGACACGGATTAGGTTAGGATTTCTGCTTGATAAGGGGGCTTTTACCAGCTACTCGTCTGCGCCTTCCCCCCCCTGGGTCGAGGAACGAAAACCAGCACAGACATTACATGTCCTTCGTCTCGGAGGGGATATGGCAGACTCGTTTGTTCTGTGCAGTGGGCCAACGATGAGGGTGGCAAATAGTTATCTATTGATCATTTATGCTTCCGGTCCCCCCAGTTGAGCACTGGCCGTTTGGAGTGGGCCCAGCTTGATTCACTCACCAGGCTCAACGTCGTGATCAAGACGGTGGCAGGGACCGGCCGCGTGACCTCGCTCGCGTTCAGTGGCAGTCGCATGCAGATGGTGCGGGGAATTAAAAGCGGAGGCTTGGAGTGGTGGGACATCAATTTGGATTTAGCAGCCGCGTCCTCAGCATCCGTTTGCAGGGGCCGCCTCAAACCTTCGGTCCGCATGATGTTGGTCAGTTGAAGCAGAGACGTAGTTTGTACAGATGATTTCTTTAGAAGCATGCAGGAGAAGGCAAAGTTCTGTAATCAGTTGATGAAACGAATCCTAAACGCAGAGGTCGAAGCAGCACTAGAGGGAGAAGTTCGGTCGAGAGCGTTCGATTGTTCCTTGTCTTGGAAGCCGCACGATGTCTTACCAAACGCCGATTGCCCCTTATACGTTATGTTGCTTGCATCGGGGCTGGCGCGGACACTCGCACAGAGATGGTAGGAAATAATGCCAAAATAGCATCTCAAGGCACAAGGGGGACATAGTCCTACACGGGTAAGCCAACAGCCGTTGCCGCCCATTCTCAGGAGCAGAAGAAGCGGGAGAAGCTGGTGGAATATGAGGAGGAAAGTTCACCAGAACATGAGGTGTTTGCATACATTTCTGAACCAGACTCCCCATTCAGCGTGGTGCAGACAGGACTGCAGGGGCCCAGAGCAATTAAGGAGGAAACATGGGAGATTCGGCTTGGGCCTCTGCGTTATTTTAGCACGCCTAGGCCAAGGACAAATGCCCTGGTCCGATTGCACCACTACCCACTTGAAACGTGTCCTGGCTGGATCCGCCATCGACACGGACCTCCATTCGCAATCCTTCTGCGCCGTGTCCCAAGGACAACAGTTTCGCCCACTGGGTGGACCCCCCCCGCACGCTCACGTACAGCCGGGCGAAGCCAAAAGGGACTCTTCGCTTGGCGTGAGGATGATTCGAGCGCGGACCCCAAGTAGAGCCCAAGCCCCCTCCCACCTCACCGAGGTCGCGCAGCTCCAGGGCCACAGCGACGCCGTCACTGGCCTGGAGGCGCACTGGGACAGCGAGCGCTTGGCCTCCGCCTCGCGCGACGGGACCGTGCGGCTCACAGGGAGGCGAAAGCCCACTCGCACAGGGCCCGGGGTTCCAAGTCGAGGAATCGCTATCATGGATTCAGGCGCGTGGATTAGCACCGTGTTTTGTTTCCACACAAACTCGGCACGATCCGTCGCCAAATCAGGGGGGCGTTGGCGACACGCCTCGGGGTATCTTCCTTGATCCGTGTTGGTGCGTGCCCGACCTACCAGTGCCAACGCGCTCGTACCTCTGATCGCTCGATCCCCTCCTCTTCCGGCAGTCCTCGGAGACGATGGCCAAACTTGTCGGCAGTGGATTCGGGCATTTTGTTTTCCTGCAGGGGGGGTGCAACGTCCTTTCGACCGAACGATACCTCGATTGCCTTGCTCGACGGTTTCGGCGTTTCTATGTTGCACGTCGCTGTCGAATGAACTAATCGCGCCATCAAGGACACATGTTCGCTGAAGCACTTGCCTGGACAGGACGATGTTCGAATCGTTGGACTGGTTAAGACGATCGAGTTGCACACATCAATGTGAGCCACGCAGTATGGGACGTCCCCATTGTGCCGTGGCCATGGTTACGCGTGTTAGTGTCAGACCTAAGTTTGAGATATGCGATTCTCCATTGCAGTGGTCATGCAGCAGTACCTCGATTCACCGACCTTCCAGCGGAAAATTGCCATGGATATTAGCGCCTGGTATTATTCGGGAGCTCTTCTTACCCCGATGATACCTGCAAGTTCACCCAGATCCTGCGAATATTCATGAACTTGGCTCGGCCAGAGTTCCAACGGGAACACGCAAGCCTAATACGAACCTTCTGGATTTGTTGGCGGGTAGAATATAAGCAGTTGCGCCTGTCACACTCCTACCATCTCCCCCTCATTCTAGGGCGCGCGGAGGATACAGGGATACCTTGTGGGATTGGATCGAGGACAAGGTTTCTAGAGAGAGAGGGCGAGAGAGAGAGAGAGAGCACAGGCATAGGATGAGAACGAGGCGGTTCGGACACGAGAAAGGAAGGACGGTGAGGCTTCAAAACTCGATTGTCTGAGCGGTCATTGTCCGTAGCCATCTTGGCTCAAGGGGGGTCGCTTGTTGGGCTGCCCCCCGCTTCGTGAAGAGCATGTACGCGAATCCAATACTACACAGTGTGTGGTCCACGATAAGGTGACGGTATGCGGCCGATCTGTCTCGCCGCCGCCGTGGGGTACGCCATCTTGCGCGGGGTGACCGCCCTCGGCCTCAGCCTCTCCCAGGAAAGCAGAACAGGCGGCGCGGGGGCGTCGGCAGCGATATTCGCCCAGGTGGCAAACACGTCCGTGTGGCCAGAACTCCGGGGCTGCATACGTAACGTCGCTGAGGCTGCGAGGCACCATCCGGGGCTCTCCAAGCTCGACCTCCACGTGGCGCTGACGCGTGCAGACGCGGCATTGGAAGACGAGGTGAGGCGGATGCGCACGGAGATTCCAGGCCTCTCTGATGCCTTCGCCAGCGTCGTGCAGAACCGGGGGGCAGACATCGGCGAGTTCATGCAGCAGGTGCAGTACGTACACCAGCACAGCAGCAATTTCAGCTACGACCTGGTGCTCAAGATCCACAGCAAGTCCTCCAGAGGCAACTGGCGCAGGCGGATGCTCAGCACTCTGTGCGGCGGCCCCGGCCAGGTGAGGACCATCCTCGGCATGTTCGGGGAGAGGCCGCGCCTTGGCCTCGTCGGGCCCTACAAGCTGGTCTGGACGTATGACACCCCCAACGAAGACGTGTTCGGGTCGCTCGGCGACTACGGCTTCCGCGTTGGTGACACGGAGAGGAAGATGGCGAACACGTGGGAAATCATCTACCCCGGCGAGCACTCCTTTCCCCCGCGCGATCGCTACCTGATCAGCGGAGGGTCGATGTTCTGGGTGCGCCCAGGGCCGCTGCTGTCGGACGAGTTCCAGAGCGCGATCCCGAAATTCCTCAGCGTGTGGGACGAGGGGTACAACCGTAGCTGCACAACGGCGGCGTGCGATCACATGTTCGCCTTGGAGCGGGTGATCCCGACCATCTATTACGGAAGGTACCGGCTGGACTATGCGCAGGCACCAAAATATCAGAACAAGTAGTGTCAGAGACGTTCGCAATTCGCTTGGCCGTGTGATAGAGACCGACGTTACTACGAGTTTGGGCAGATTCGGACGCGTAGCCGACGATGGCCCAAGGCGAATATTATAGGCAGACGATCGTCAAAGTTGGCCTCCACCTTCCGCACGTGGGTGGGTTAGCCAATTTGTGTCTCACTGGAGAGCTTGACATGCACATGTGTCCACGTCGGAAAAGTATCGCCTACACATTACATATGTCGTCACGTTTGCCACTCTTACAGTTCTTTATTGCTCATCGGTTATGTTTATTATTCCTCATGGGGTCTACGTTGCATCCTGTCTTCGGGGGGTCAGCATGATTCGCAAGCGCTTTCGCATTCCTTTCTGGCACCAGGGCTTTAAGTCGCTACCAGGTTCCCTACTGTACGCTTCGAACGGAGAACCACACGCCAGCTAAGTCTGATACGGATCAGGCTGCACGCAAGGTCAACTGAGGGTCGGGAGCTTCCGACTTACAGCCAAGACGCTGACATAAGGAACAGTTTGGAATCGGAGGGGGCTCGATGTTCCTTACGTCCTTCCGTGGTTGTTCATCTAGCCCTTCTCGTGCACCAAGGTTTTTTTGAAGCCACAGAGGGGCTTCGTTCTTTATTTGGCGTTCCTTATTTCAGCAGCCCGACTGTAGCGCTTGTGCTGTACCTTGTTGTCTCTTGCCATCCCATGCGTCACGCAAGTCCAAGGCGAAGATGAGGTGGCGCGCACTGTCTCCCGCCGCGGGGGCCGTGCGCAGCCCAGAGTCGGCGGCGCGCCCAGGGGGGGAAGGCAGAGGGGGCGGGCCGCTGCAGAAGGCGCCAAAGGCCCCCGCCCCTCTTGAACAACTCCTACGCCTTCTCGGAAGCGGCAGAGGGCTCCTCGGAAGGCTGGAGGGCTTTCTGAGAGGAGGAGGGAGGAGGAGGGAGGAGGATGGAGGAGAATGGAGGAGGAGGAGGCGGCGGAGGAGGAGGAGGAGGAGGAGGGAG